CACTTTTTACAAGCTTGTTTGCAAGAATATCATGGGAAACCTTGTCAAGAACCTTGTTAAGAACAGAACAACACCTATTCAACACAGAACAACACACAGTTTACATGGGAATCACTCCTCCCTACCCAGGGTCTCACAGTATATATAGACCCACTCTCTTCCATTCCAGCATTCTCTGAAGATACCAACCACAGATGCTGGTGAAATGTCAGAAAGAAACTCTTCTAGAACATGGCCAACAGCCTGAAAAACCCACAAAAAATTATGGATGCCGGCCATGAAAGCCTACGACTTCACTCTTGGCCCATCATCCACCTCCTTTTCCCATTCCCTCTCTTCCTCCTGATGGCTCTGAATAATTGATGCCCCTGTCCAAAATGATCAGAAAGTGTTGGAGCGGAAGAGGAGCCAGAAAGGGAGAAACACAAGGAGCAGCTAAAAAAAGGGCTAGCAGAACGCTAGCTTGGAATCACATAAATAATTGTGGAGTTGGAAGGCACACCAGGCTGAGGGTCATCTAGTCCAGCCGCCGGCCAAAGATGCAGGATGTCCAGCACTAAAGGACCCGGAGCCTGGTGGTCCTCCAAGCATGGTGCCTGTGACACCCCTGATTTCTGTTCGCAACTGTTTTAATTTATTTGTTAATTCTTGTTTATTCATTATTTTAAAGTATGTTTTGCAAGTTCAATTCAATTTATTCGAAAAGTATGTTTTAAACTATGACTGTTTAATTGTATTTTTGGGGGGGGGCTGTTGGGAGATGGGATTGTATGTTTTAGCGTGTAAGTCACCCCCGTTGTGTTGCACAGAGAGGCGGGATACAAATAAATATTATTATTATTATTATTATTATTATTATTATTATTATTATTATTATTATTTTGTTGTTGTTGCAAAAGCCTCCAGTAAAGGAGTGTGCGCACATGGCCTTCGGATGCGGCGGATGACATTGCAGACCCTGCCCATGAAAAAGCCCTGTATCCTCTGGCTACCCAACCCCAAAAGCATCTCCCAGGGTGCTTTGGATCCCTTCTTCCCTCTGGGAGACAGAGTTTTCTAAGTACCAAGGTACCAAATTAAGTGAAGCAGCAATATCCAATTTATTAATTACCATCTTGAAAGAAGGGGTGTCCTAGGCAAGGAGGCACACACCCCAAACTTGACACACACACACCAAGTTTTTAATCCCTTTCCCTGGAAGGATTTTGCCA